TGACAATCCAATAGCCACACGGGGTTTAAAGTGTCTAAGGTCTAAAAGAACTACACAGACAGACAAGAGGAGGTTCGTACCCTCTCGTAAGGCGGATGATGTCCCCGGGCTGGATGAGGCTGCCCAGCTCATCCCACACAGAGATGGCGATGCTGCCGCTCTTATCCGCCACCCTGCACGAGCGCACCTCGTGCCCGTCCTTTGTCTTCGTCACCCGACCTGCGCGTGCACAGCAAAATTCAGTCAAATCTCAGCCGTGACAAAACTACTAAAAGCACGCAAATAATTGCGCTACACGATGACAGATGCATGAAAAACCAAAGCTATAAGAACAGAGCAACAGAGAGGTCAAGCGCAACGTTAGACATGTTAGTCACGAATGTTGGCACGGAGGAATTAGCTCCTCTCATGCTAATAAACGGTCGCGAGGGGCACAGCAGTGAATCCACTTACCGATTTCCAAAACTATAAAGACGATATTAAGGTTTTTCGATCCGGGCTTTACATCTTTAATCAAGATCACAGCTTCGTTGGAGATATTCGACATTTCTGAGAGCTGAGGAGGAGGCTAGCACACCGGCTAGCGAAACCACAGCTGTGTGAGGGTTTCTTGATCTAAAGCTAAATCTGTGCTCTGAGTGGGTTGTTATATTTGCCAAATAAACTTGACTTGGCAAATAAACTTTGTTTACAAGACCCCTTTGGAATGGCTGAGGTGTTTCTAACGTAACATTTGAGGCAGTTTGTTTTCACACTTCAACATCGAGCTAAAGGAAAGTAAAAGAGGAAATATTTCCTCCTCCACGATTAAAACGATTCGTATAAAAACACTCAATTCGTTTTCCAGACAGATATGTTAGACTTCATCCTTTCCTAAACCTAAAAAACTAAGACTCCAAGACTTCGCTTCCAAGTCTGTCTCTGCTCAAAATGTCTTAACAGCATCCAGATGGATTTATACCGAGTCACGGTCTTTATGTTAGCCTACACTATCAATACACGACGTCAAATGAACAAATCGCTGTTAAAGTGGACTTTCTTTACATAAACGTGCCGGTTATGTTGCGGGTTAAGTTTAAAACCGTGTCAGTGAGTTCAGTCACACTGCCGGTCAAACTGAACACTAACGCGTCTCATTTCACCTTCCACGCAAAAATCATTAATCTGGTGTCTAATCGACATTTAAAAGCGACGAGAGTCGATCTAAAACGGATGTCAGCCGAGTAACTATAGCTGCCTAACTTTAATGTGCTTTATGAGCAGTTCGAAACTTCCAGATGGCCTTTAAAATTGATATAATTGTAGCATGTTTTCTACATGTGTAGCACTGCAAGCTTACTAAGAAAGAGAATATAAAAAATAAAAAAAATCGCAAAATAGGGGAACTCTCTATTTCACAGTGCTAACGTTATCTGCCTCTCCCTCACTAACAAAGCGTCTGATCTGCGCCAGTATGTGTTCGGTTCTTTAAATTCTACCGGATGTACCATCTCACTGTTCCGCGGGGGTGTTCAAAGATGTGTAACTGCCGTTAAATACACAAATGCGATTTTAATATACGCACATTTGAGTAAACAAACATGAGATATTGTCCAGTATCATCAACGTTGGACAGGAACGAAAGCTTTAGAGACTCAAGTGTTGGTTTTTACCGTGTTCTTGTTACATTGAGCTCAATCTGATTGGACACCGTGAAGACGCAAAATAGGGGAACTCTCTATTTCACAGTGCTAACGCTATCCGCCTCTCCCTCACTAACAAAGCGTCTGATCTGCGCCAATATGTGTTCGGTTCTTTAAATTCTACCGGATGTACCATCTCACTGTTCCGCGGGGGTGTTCAAAGATGTGTAACTGCCGTTAAATACACAAATGCGATTTTAATATACGCACATTTGAGTAAACAAACATGAGATATTGTCCAGTATCATCAACGTTGGACAGGAACGAAAGCTTTAGAGACTCAAGTGTTGGTTTTTACCGTGTTCTTGTTACATTGAGCTCAATCTGATTGGACACCGTGAAGAAAGCGTCCACATGGAAAGGAAATAACCACACACCATTTATTTCCTTGTACGATTGTCGACGTTGTGTAATATGATTTTATTACACGTTCCAAAATATTTCCAAAGGTATCTGGGTTGCATCATCACCTCAGTAATCCAATAGACTGTTGACAGTTAGCTACAAGGCCTTGTTTTTACAGTTTTGCTGTATTCTAATGGCTGGGTCCTGTATATCAGTGAAGTGCAGTTAAAACTTGCGTTGGTGTTAACATCAAGGAAATCTAACAAGTTTTTAAAGGCCATCAAAACTTGCTTCCTCTCATTTAGTGTTGTGCTTTGCGAATTCAAGTGTGAAACCATTGATTTCTGATAACTGATTTACCAGCTAGATTGTCATGAATTTTCTCACACACACACACACACACACACACACACACACAGAGACAGACAGACAGAGACACACAGACAGCTGAGATGTCTAAATTTGTTTTTAGGGGTTCAGCAACAATAATTCGCTCAGTCTCGCGCTCACACACGCGAAAAGAAGTTCGTCACGAACAGGATTCGAACCTGTGCGGGGAAACCCCATTGGATTTCGAGTCCAACGCCTTAACCTCTCGGCCACCGTGACACCGTTTTAAGTTTATTCAAATACGACATAAAAACATAATCTCAATCCAAAATGACTATACCTACGAATATTACTTTGTTAGTGTTTAAAATAGCCTAAAACAGTTACCCAACTCTATATTATTTGACATAAACAGCTCACTTAAAATACGACTCTACATAGACATTGTTAATTTGAAACGTCAGTTAACGTTACTGTCTAAACTCTAAAAGCAAGCACTAGCACATGGTCTTCAAATAAACTTTCCTGAGGCGATAATATTAAAGTAAAAGCAATTATTACGTAAATGTGATGAAAAGCCGACGTACACTTGTTTTTAGCAAAGCATTAACGTCATAATACGATTATTATTATTAATATATATTATTTCAAATCACAATCTGATAAGGTATTTATAATATTTATACTTCGTTAAGAAATAACTACATTTATTTTCAGGAGTTTATGTTGGATATTTGTCAATAGAGGCGATAATATTAAAGTAAAAGCAATAATTACGTAAATGTGATGAAAAGCCGACGTACACTTGTTTTTAGCAAAGCATTAACGTCATAATACGATTATTATTATTAATATATATGATTTCAAATCACAATCTGATAAGGTATTTATAATATTTATACTTCGTTAAGAAATAACTACATTTATTTTCAGGAGTTTATGTTGGATATTTGTCAATAAGCAGATGAAAACTGACGACGTTTGGCCACACGGTGGAGACAACATCATTCATTAAATTTGAAAGGTCCAGTTCCAGAAACCAGTTACGGTGGCCAAGGAGAAAATAATAATAATAATAGCAGTAAATTTGGGTGTGAATCCCTTGTTTTTTTTTCCATCTAAACATTTTCCTTTGAATGGAAATGTATTCTCTTTATGACACCTATAATCTCAGCTACAATATCCTCTATACCTCCTTACATATTTCACAGTCAGTTGTCGGTACCTCAAAAAACCTCCTTCAACTTGGACAGATATACAGTATATGTAACCCGACCCCTCAGTCTACCTGGGAGCCAGAGAGATTTTAGACTGCTTGCCAAACCCACATATGGTTGATGTAGAAAATGAAACCGTGAAGTTTTCTGTCAAGACCGACAATTCATCTTACCTCACATACTCCACATTTACTAAATAAAGAACAACAGGGCTTTTAAATTGCATTAATAAATGCATAAATGTTGTCTAGATAATTGTTCGTTGTTGTAAACAAAACCCACCGAACCCAAGTTGTTTTATCAGTGTTGACGTGACACCAGCATGCAGTACGGTGAAGAGGCCTGCAGGCAGCACACCTGTAGAGCATGCAGGTATTCCATACCTCAGCTAACCCGTGCAAACTATAGCCATCAATACATTCTCACCTTATCTTTTTCCAGACAGTGGCAAATGAACTGCTGAGAAGCCATCCATCAGAACCAGGAATGCACCTTCTTCACCTGGTATGTGTGTGTGTGTGTGTGTGTCTCAAATAAAGTGTGTATACTGAGTAGTTATGATTATAGGGGCCCACGGCTGTGGGGGGCCCCCCGGCGATTTCAACCTACTGGCTGAGGCCAGCCTAAAAAGACGCTCAGGACAGTTGACGGTGCTGCACGTTGTCACAAAAGCTTATCAGTTGCATGTGTTTTTAAGCCTTGCAAATTTAAACATTCAAACTAGTTTAAAGCATTCAAGCACAAAATGCGAAATAACTTAACTGAGTGCTTGCGCGCTGTGTTTGTGTTGTCTTAACAGGATAACTAACTCTTCTTCGTGTTATGTCTTAAATTAAAGACAAATTTCCTTTCGCGGACAAATCAAGTGTATTCTATCCTATCCTATCCTAAATGAACGTAAACAGTTGAGAAAGACATCGGATGTGTATCATTATATTGGATGTATTGTCTCTTAAAGTGACCGCGCCTAATTTACTAGCTGCTGTCGGTGTCCAATCCAATCCAAGAAATTAAATGAGAGACAATCACTCACAGCTCTTTACTGAATTACTTTGTAGTTTTAACAAGAATTAAAATGTAATTTAAACAGTGAAGACTAGGCAATGATATTTTACATTTGATTATTCAGTTTCTGCACCTGGACACCTACAAACTTGGAAAAACCTTAAACATTTTTATTTATTTGTGCTATTACACAATTTTAAACAGGGCCCACGGGTACAACCAGAACCACGGCCCCGCAAACCCCAGCTACAGCCCATATATATGGCAGCAGTTTTTATATTCACAGGTCTGATGTCTGAGTACAGAGTATTTTACCACTGAATCATCTAAATAATGTTAGTGTTTAGCAGAATATGAAGTTATTACATCAGCAGTATGGAATGTTTGACCACACAAATACTTCTGCTTCACTGTACGTTTGTATTTATCAGGCTGTGTATGTGTGCCCTTGCCGTGCACTATAGCAGTAATTGGAGAGTTGTTGGCAGCGGGCAAGGTTGCCATGGAGATTGCAGTCAATTGTGCTGGCTTTCCCCCAGAAATTTTGTAAACACGCTTCCTTCACACCATGCCAAGCACTGCTACCAGTCCTCATAGACAACTACTTATTCAAGCCTTGAGACGGAGTGCTGCTAAATATTTTAATAAAAGTTCTAAAAATGTAAAAAAAACATAACTTTGTCAACACATCTTGTCTTTTGTAGTTGTCTGTTTCATACCATACAAAAAGTACTGTGTGTTGTTAACATATATTTCATGATTACCATGCTAATATACAATGGTTTCTACATGGTATTTGCATCTGTTTCCAAAAACCATAATAATACCATAGTACTTTTTTGTATACAATTTAATACTACATTTTATGTACATTGACAGAAGAGAGTCTGGACTCCTGCATAACAAAGGACAGATTGGTACATAATGCCTCTCCTACACACAAAGAAAAAAGATAGAGAGTGAGAGTTCAGGCGTTTCAGTTCAGTTAATTTCATGGTATTCACAGGCTCCCACAGGAAAATATAGCTATTTCTGTGTATCATTGTGGTGACTGGTCTGAACTGCTGTACCATTCTCGGGGCTTTTATACAGACTCTATTTGAAATGGAATCTAAATGGAATTTCCTCCTACAAGAACGTGCTTAATTTCTGAACGTAACACAATAGGTTATAGTTACATTATATTAGGGATTAATTCAGGGCAATATGTTATTTTAGCAGACATGCTAACATTAAACAAGCTTGGGAACAAGATACCAGTGGCACAAGGGAGTAACTACGCTTCCCAAAGTCTGAGAAGTGGACTGAAGTCAGAGGAGTAGAAACACAACTATATCTAAGAAGGTAGTTCAACAGTAGCTGCAGTCGACGGCGGAGACACAGACACTTCATCTGCAGGTTTCGCATTTTTCTCCTCCTCCTCTTCCTCCTTCCTGTTTTCATCATTACCATCAGTGTCATCATCTTCTTTATCGACTTCTTCTTCAGCCAGAGTTGCAGATGGACCGTTCTCGAGATCTCCACCCTCATCTGTGATGAACACCTCTCCATCCCCGCTGCCCGGGGTGGAGGAGCTGCGAAGATCGTCTCCATTTGTTTTCTCACCTGAGGAGTGTAACTCAGCCAGGGGCAGCTCACCATCAGGTCCCCCAATGCTGGGAACTTCCACTGGGCTGAGGTTCCTCGGTGAGCTCCCAGGCTGCTGGGAAGAGTCAGCATCTCCATCTCGAACCTTCTTGACGTTGAAGGTCATTGGAGAGACACGGAAGGACGAGCTCTTGGAAGAGGAGCTCTTTGGGTGGTTGGGGATGAAGCTTTTCTTGATCTTCTCGCGCTGTTCTGGAGGCACGATCTTGTTGATCTTCTTCTCTAGGCTGCTTCGTGAGAAGGCCTTTTTTAGACTATCCACCTTCTTCAGACTGGAGCGCTTAAACTTGTCAGCACGAGAGCGCTCCACACGTTCGCTTCCCAAGCCTGGGAAGCTCTCTTCATGCAGATCTAGCGAATCATCACCACCCTCTGCCAGAGGACTCGTTGCTCCTTTTTCCTCGTCGTCATCGGAAGAGAGGCTGATGGTCTGCAGGCCTTCATCTTGAGAACAGTTTAAATCAGTGAGCGGAGTTGGTGCAGATGGACCGATCTCATCCTGAGAGGTGGAGGCCAGGCCATCTTTAGTAAGCAGAGTGGAGGGGATTTCATTGTCCTCCTGAAATTGGAGAAAAAGAAAATGAATTTAACAATGACTGAAAGGTTCAGTGTGTAAAGGTCTGCCTTTAAGGTTACAGTACAGTACAATTCTAATATAACCTGTATTTAAACGTTAAACGTTGCATTTTGCAGACAATTTTAGCCAATAACATTGCATTGCAGTTTATCAGTTTATGCATTCTGTGGGAATCGAACCCACAACCTTGCCATTGCTAGCAGCATGCTATACTGTAAAGATTAGTTTCAGATCCACACACTACTTTTGTACTAATAAACAAAACAAATAGATGAGTCAGTTTGTCTGTTGTTTTTTTTTAGTTATATTGTGCAATCTACTGAAAAACCTGTTTGTTGCAGAGCAAGCTATACCCAAGGCATGTGGAGGCATTGTGTTGGAATTACTCCAAACCAAAAAAAAAAAAAAAAAAAGCAAGAGGTTGAGGTATACTGTTCCCACCAAATTCCTTTTAAAAAGCTTTGATTTATAACTTTCATGTATTTCTCTCATCAATCTAAGTCAGGATTTTTGGGTATACTGCATAGCTCAATATATGTTGAATGCAATCATTTTTATTCCTTCTTTCCATCTTTTGCATAACTAAATAAGCATTCAATCACTGAAATAATCAACAACAAAAAGATGACCAAATATGCCACACCCTTTCAAATGTCTCTCTGACACACAGACAGCAGAATATTCTCGTATCGCTGCTCTCCCCTCACACACGCAGACCCCTGACACACACCTCAGACACGACTGCTGAGGTTTACAGGGGTTATGCTTCACGTTTAAGGAGTAAATTGAAGATCTGACCCTCAGGGAAGGGCGGATTAGCAGCACGAATGGAGCTTTTGCACGCTCACCTGCTCCCTCCTAAGGGCACTAAGCACACAATTCAGAGCACCTACCATATATCTCTCCAAGCTCTAAACATCTAAATGACAGATTTGTGACTGTATGCCAGTGTTTCAGTATGAAACTGCAAGTAGAAGTATATGCTGAAAATTGTGGAGTATAAACAGATCTTCAGATGCTCCGGTCTCTGGAAAATGTATATTTTACAAGTCAAGGAATGTTCTACCCTATAAATCACTCAAGTTTTTTAGCTGTGTTTAGAATTAAGCTCACTAATTCGAAAGAACTGTTCATGTTCCTTTAGCCTTTAATAAAGATAGTTATTGAGAGCTCTCAGTTGTTGGACATTCACTTTATTATATTATATGCACTATAAAATGGAATAACATCATAATGTAAAGACAACCTTATCCCCATCCCCTCGCCCTCGGCCACGAAACTCTGTGCCATTAACAAGAAGCTGGTTTACAAATTCCAATGAAGGAATGCAACTCCTATTGTTTTTTTACATTCAAGAAATAATCCCAATGTCTTGCTGATTAATATGAGAAGAACCTTTTCCAAAGGTGCATTTCTTAAAATATGTTAATTGTTATTTTCAAAAAGTGGTCCAAATGGATGGTACTCATCTTTAACATTTCGCCTTTGAATAGCCAGTCTCACCCTGAGGGCAGAGATCCAGTCCAAACCAGTGTTGACTCTGGGCTAACCAGTTCTTCATGAGCAAACGTACAGAGTAACACCCCTCAAGTTCAAGAGCTACATGGAAACTAGAGCTGGGAGTTGGCTGTGTTCGGTTACTTCTATAAAAGTATCAGCTTTTAATTTGTGATAACCTGGTAATGGCTACATTTGTATTCTATTTCATAATTAATAATAGAGTGAAACTCAGGCAACACCTTTATATTATGTTTTCAGTCCACTATATAAGAACTGCAATTTACCAAGAACCTACACAGATGGGATTTAGGGAGATGTTAGATAAATAATAAAAACCCGTTAACTCTGTAAAATGATTCCCTGTTGAAATATGTTGATTCAGCTCAAATCTAATTAGTTTGTGCCTTGAGGGCCTTGTCAGATAAAAAGTGCACACATGAAATATATCTCCAAAAGCCTGGGAAATTTCACACAGTAGTAGGCTGACCCCAATCTGAAGGCTTTATTAAAAGTGTCTCAACAGTACAAATTTCATTAAAAGTAAAACTAATATATATCAATATAATGATGCATATTTTACAAAATCCTATGGGAATGACATCAGTCTAGTGACAATTGTTTTCTCTGTTCACATTTTGAATGGAAGAAGGGAGTCTCTGTTTTGTTAGTTTCGCTCTTCATTTATCATTTGCATTCTTAGTTGAAGCTGCTCCAGTCTTTCTGATCCTGCTCTGTATCCACCTTTCTTAACATTTGTTTCTCAGCCCTGTCTCTTGTAACACAGTGATAAATCAAGACATTTGCCATTCAGATTTTGACCTTTATCTAAATACACAATGGCCAGAGGAAGAGAAAGAGGAGGGGACTGAAGGATAGAGAGAGGTTTTCAACTTTTGAAAACATTGTGTCACATGCTGATACCCCTGCTTCAGTGTGTAATTGGAGCCTGGATAATTAATGCGCCCCGCTGGAGGCCTCCGGACTTTTTGGAGTGGAAACATCGAAAGAGATGAGAGAAATGGTGTGTGTGTGTGTGTGTGTGTGTGTGTGTGTCTCAATCAGGCTCGTAGGATCTGAACAGACAACACAAGGGCAGCAGAAAGCACAGGAAAGAAGCAGAGGAAAGACAAATATAAGAACAATAGAGGACGGGACTATTAAAAAGAAAAGACACAAAGGAAGGATGTGTCACTGCTGGATGTTAGCAGTATTGCATTTGTTCTTGCTAAGGGAAAGTGTTGTTTTGAGACAGACATGAACATATGCCAGGAGCTGCTCTCAAAGTCTGTCACTACAGAGTAAACAAAAAGGAGAACCATGATGGGTTAATATAAAAAAAACAAACACTAATATAACATGCAGTGGTATTTTACTATTATTTATATACTATTATAGCTTTTATTAATATTTGAAATTCGCTTTTATTAGGTTTATTTTTATTTGTTTTAATTTTTTTCCAGTTTCATTTTAGCATTTCAACCTGTACTTATTTTAGTTAGCTGCCAAAGCAATTCAAATTTTACTTAGTTTGTTTTTCATCTAATAATTATATTTTATATTTCAGTTAGCAAATACAAGATACAATACAGATTTATTTCAATTAGCAAAATACAAATGTGTGTCCAACATTTATGAAATGCTAAAAATATATAATACAAAAAAAAAAAAAATCCCTAAATATTACAATACTGTTCTGCCATGAAAAACAAAACAAAAACTGACACAATAAAACAACAAAAGCACAGTACACTGTCTTTGAATTTGTTTCTTCTCATCCAGGGAAAATGATTCTGCAACTGTTAATATTCCCATGCAAATCTGACTCAGAAAAAGTCTACACCATCTGCACATGTTTGGATTGTCAGTAAATGGATGTCTAACTAAAATAAGGACTGAATTGTATGTCTGTTTTCTCTCTCAGATTAATTATGTAACACATTTATAAGATTTTGAAGACATAAAACACATGACATACAGCCCACATGTGACGCCCCATCAGCCTTGGCAGGATTTTGTGTAAAAAAAACAAAAAACAATAGACCAGACACATATGTGCTCGCTCATCCGTTACCTGTTTATAATGTGTGGAAGAAGTTCAGGGAATCTTTGGCCTTGCTCCAGATGGAGAGAATAAGTGGAAAGCAAGAGCCAACTGGCTTGAACACACAGTTCAGTGAGATGCCGGGCAAAGCAATGTGCTATCAAAGCCTCCGATCTGCAGCACTGTGCTGAAAACTATGGGAAAGTGATATTTAAAGGGCCATCTGTGGACTCTCAACTGACTGAATTCGGCATAGCAGAGGTTTACTGCCCTAAAGAACTGAAGAGTATTTTTTAGTTTTTGTTTTGAATTTAATCAAATTCTGACCTATTATTGTCTGAGCTGATGAGAAGTGAGCTGTCTAAAAGAGGGTTCTGATTCCATCTCATTCTCTCTCAGGTTTATATATAAAAAGCTTCATTGTCTCTGTCTGGCCGCTTGAATTAATCACATGATTAGTCATGCTCCCTGAAGTATCATTTTTCTAATTAGACTGTATTTATTTGAGTGAGTCCAATAATACCTGCAGAATGAGTGTGTCTGGATCATTTCATCTTCACAGGGCTTGACTTTTCAGATCTCAGCCTTGACGTATTTCTTAATTAAGCGGTAGGTTTGGATGGGGCATATCAAATGGCTTTGTCGGGTTGAACAAATAGCCAATAGGCTTTAATTATAATAAGCAGTGAACCATTGCTACTTGTTAGGCAGTTGCAGGTGGTATTTATAATTCAGGGGTGGGGCATTCTCAATCCTCAAAATATTTGATTGGACAAACATCTGTGCTGTGCAAAATGAGTCATACCGCACTTAACCTTGATCCTTCGCAAACGTTAGGCCTACTGAGCTGCGTGCTGGAGGAATCGTGGCTAGGAGGCAGGAAAGTGCGTTTAGCAGTATTATATGAGCACACTTCTTCTGAAATTCCAAATCAGCTCTGTCAAACATTAGGGTTTTTTATTTATCCATGAAAATATGAGCAGAAAAAAAAGGAATAAAAGCAGGCTACAGTCATCATCAGTTAGAGTTTGTACGCCGTACGTTGTCAGTGGAGTGATACGAGAGACATGAAACTACCACAGAGTTGGAGGTTGCTAGGGCAACAGTCAAATATACAGTTTGGATGTCATTATACAAAAATATTTGACTGCAGAATGCTGCGATTGGCCAATAAGAATCAAGCATTCCAAAGCATTGTAAAAAACAAACAGCTGTATGTTAGCACAATGGTAAAGGGAGGAGTTGAGTTGTCAAACCAGAAATCCAGCACATTGAGCTGAAACATGCCCGAGCAGAGAATATCTCTCTCTCTCCCTCTCTCTCTCTCTCTCATACTTCAGTTTGTTTTCCATTGTTCTCATCCAGTTCATTCTATCTGTTCCTCTGCTGTTTCCTCCACCATCACAATCTTTTCCCTGGCCTTGAAGTAGTCATGCTTTGT